ATGAATGATGGTCTATCCTCGAAACAAGGGTTTGTTTACACACAAATGCACACACAAAATGCACACACAAAAGTCAATAACAAAATAGCAGTATCCATATATATATATATATATATATATATACATACATATACATATATATAAACAACTCTTTTCTTCAGTTATTGTGTTAATTGTAGCCTGCATACCGACAACAATATGGTTCTACTCTCTTTTTAACCACACATGCATTAAAGTGAGTTGAGCATCAGCAATGGTTGTAAAGTACACAGCAGCAAAGAACTAAGGTAGCATCATATAAAAGCATCATATAATAGTTCAAATGGCTCCTTCATTAACATCATATTCAAAAATATTCAACTTCATTTGCATGTTGCCATGGACGACATGCAAATCAACATGACGTTGATGTTGACTATGTATGTCAGTATTTGTGTTGGTGAAATTAATTATTAAATAAACAAACAAAGCATAATCTGTCGCTTATTTGCTTATCACCTAATAAATGGAGCTTGTAGAACCGTTGAATAAAATATGTGATTATCTAATAACAGCTGTGCTGATATTCAGTATAATAATAATAACAGCACTCCCTCTTGTGTGATATTGCTTAAGTATTTCATGTATACAGTTCCAAGTGAAAATGCACTTACCTTGTTCGTCCCTGTAAGAAGATGGCAGATTCAATAAGTGTTATATTGTATCGCTATCAGGACTAGCTTCACACATTAGACATCGACACATTTCACGCTGGAAATAAACAACTACAATTCAGATAGAGATTCAAGGTACTCACTCGTAGGCCGGCTCCTCGGTGTCAGACATGATGGAGGTCTACGTCAAAAGAACTGCAACATCACAACCAAATAAATACACAATATTAACACCACAACACGTACACTGCCTTTAACTGCAGGACAATCAAAGCGCTGTGTAATGCGTAGCCTTACCCAGAGAGTGTGATGTGCACTGGATGCAGAGACTCAATGGACAAAATTGTGTTGCCCCCCTGCTGTGAGGCAGCATTAAGCTTTTAAACCCAGAAGTGGATCACATGGTGGTAAGCTGGACATGTTTACAATGGGGTGGGCACATACCTGCAAACAGATGGCCACTGGCATGAGAGGGGGCTTGGAGACCCAAGAGATCCCCCTGGACGTGGACTAGGGGGTCTATTTTTATGGGTCAAAATCTGGACCACGACAACCCGGGGGATTAGAGAGACAAAAAAGGGTTAAGGTTTCCTCAGACATCTGACCGATATAGTGAAGGGTTAAAAATATATTCCAGGTGAGCGCATGCACTGGTGCGTCGGGCTCACCGTGTATGGGATGTACAGCGCGCACGCGCAACATACATGCACACGCTGCAAGCGTGTCAAAGCACACGGGGACGTGTGTACACTCACCCCGCGCTGGATGCTCTATCATCGCTCAACTGTCACTGGAACAACTAAAAACATGTCAATAATAACTCAACATGTCAATACGGCGCTGCTGCTACACGTACAACACAAACCGTCACGTGCCAAACATCACACACGTTAGGTTGCATTTGGGATCTCTCTCTATGTGAGCCATGGTGAAAGGGCATTGTGCAACCGAGAGCAGAGTAAACAGATAGAGAGAGAGAGTGTGAATCTGGAGAGGGGCGAAAAGGCCAAGTGAAAGGGTAATTCAAAACCACACACCCTTCGTCTGGCTCGCTCCCCAGCTCTCTGTCTCCGTGTACGTAAGCCCTGGCCTCTGCCTAGAGGCAAGTAACAACCTGCTCCTTCGACTCCACCCTTGGATGGCAATGCCCAACCTAACCGCTCAGGTAAATCCCCTGCTAAGACAGACGGGCAGGGGTTATTGTTACTAACGGGAAGTGTGTGAGACGAGGTATGAGTGGCTTCTTCAGTGCAGACATGTACAGCCCCACTGCACGCCTTGTTTTCTGTTTTATTGGAGTGCATAGTTTACAGGTAATTGCAGTCTTGTACTAAAAATATAGTCAATAAAAAAACGATGTGTTACAACACCCAGAGGTGTCAGGCGTAGGCTGCATTGACATTGAGGTGTTAAAATGTATTTAGAGTAAACACATGCAGTCAGGTAATGACTGCATGTCATTACCTGACTGCAGAGTTGTCAGGTGTTTGAATGGATAGCTCTAGCAGAAAAGCAAGCATTGCAACACATATCATTAGCATTAAGTGGAATGCATAATTCAATTTTAATAATACAATTATTAATAATAATTTAAACTACATTTTAAGTCCTTGAAGGTTAGCTCCCGTCTGGTGCCAGATTATACTGAAATACTGCCACCTAGTGTATACATCTTGCCATTATTTATTTCTGTCTTTCTTTCATTTGAAATATACAATCTTGAAGTCCATTCGAATAGTTCCTACTTTATACTTGTGTTTTAATGCGTTAACTAACCAAGTTTACCAACACAATCCGATGACACATTCTGTATGGCTGTGGATCAGGTAAAGCATGACTAACATTTAAAAATATCTGCCAATTTCTGATGCAGTATGTAGATAATATAGATTGATATTGAACTTTAATGATATAGCTTATACACAAAAAAACACACTTCAAAGAAACAAAAAAGACAAAGATACATTTTTGAGATTTTTTATTGATTATAGGTGACAATAAAACAGGGATAAGTCTACCTGAAGACATAACATACTTTAATACTATTGTAGAAAAACACAGAACATGTGATTGACTTTAAAACATTTACTTTGTAATTTATATATGTGCTTCATGGTTACCGACAAATCAATTTCATGGCTTGTGATTTGACTGACAGGTAACCGTTACACATGCCATTCTCTACTGGTTGGCTGCGTCAAACATTTTCTTCCTTCCCTCCATGCCAGACATGGCCTCCACGTTCTTCCTCCAGTCACCCACCTCCGCTGTCTTCTCCTGGAGAGCACACACACACACACACACACACACACACACACACACACACACACACACACACACACACACACACACACAACAATACGCACACATGAGGAGCCACCCACACATGAAAAACCACACCCACACAGAACCACTCACACACACACACACACACACACACACACACACACACACACACACACACACACACACACACACACACACACACACAGAACCACTCACAAACACACACACACACACACACACACACACACACACACACACACACACACACACACACACACAGAACCACTCACAAACACACACACACACACACACACACACACACACACACACACACACACACACACACACACACACACACACACACACACACACATTTGTGTATGATTGTTTTATTTTGTCTATTTTTTTCCTTGTTGCTTTTTTGATTGTGTGATACATTTATTATCACACATTACTCCTATAGATATTAGATATATGCCTTTTAGTGGATGCGTGTATCTGGTGCCTTGCTCTACCAGTTGAGCTGGACAGGTCCAGAGATGTAGGATCTGTGTGTCGTAACAGCGGCTCATACACTCTTGGTATTGACAGCACCAAGTTAGTGATTGTATTATGTGTTTATATAAGATAAAAGATTCACACCAAGGTGTGTTATATGTTTTTATTATTTTATGAGTGACATGTTTGGGTTGCGCCCTGTTGTTGGATGGACCTATAAAACTTCATAGTTTTTTATAGCTTTTATAGCGTCATAATTTGTATAGCTTCAAATGTGTTAATGTCTCATCCATATGCACAATAAAGAAACAACATTGCAAAACATTACAGACCTTCCTTCCTCAAACACAAGGTCAGGTGCTGGGGTCACTGTATAAGTGTGAACAGGTTACTTTACTTTATAACCCTCGTAACTCACATATTAATGTCTGAGTTCACATTGCAGTATTACGTGTAGCCTACCATAATAACTATAATATTCTCACGTCTACCGTAATAACTGTAATATTCTGGCGCCTACCGCGTTACCTGTAGTATTCTGGCGCCTACCTTCTCTGTGTCCTCCTTCTTGACAGACTTGAGGTTGGCCCGCAGGTCCAGAGACACCTTGTGCTTGGAGCCCAGCAGGGAGCGTAGGATGGCGTCGGCCGAGACCCTCACCCTGCGCAGGTTGGGCCGCTTGAACTTCCCCCGCAGGTCCAACACCTTGATGTTCAGGTCTTTGATCTGAGGTGGGGAGGAGGGGGCGTGGAGAGACACATGTGGTCATATTACACTTCGATCTACTACCCCATGTGTGTGTCTGTACAGCTCCTGATCAGCCCAGAAGGGATATCTGTCTGATGTGCTGTTTTTCAGGGTGTCTGTCTCGTCCGACTGGGTAATATTGGAGTTTTTTCCCTCCCCCTGTGGAAGGAACTATAGGGTTACATGGCTGCCTTCTGATAAATACACATACCTACTTGACTTGCTACGCCTTTACCCTACCTTACCTTGTCTATAGCCAAACTTATCTTACCCTACCTTATCTTATCTTACCTTTTATTCCGTACTCGGCCTCCTCTAGCCGAAAGGTTATGGGTTCGATCCCCAATTTCTGCAGCCTACCGGTTCCCTCTACCTGCTCCTTAATGACCTGTATCTGAATTCACCGTAAGTCGCTTTGGATGAAAGCGACTTATCAGTAAATAGTAACTGATACATATTGTATACTATAACATAACCCAGTCACTGTCGGCAGTATGGAGTGGTTGCTTATCTACTATCCTACCTCTCTGGTGTTGTGCATGACCTTGGCTTCGATGTTGTATCGTTCTTCGTCCACCACTGTTATTTTAGCATGGAGGTCCTGGCAGAGAGCCTGTTGGAGAGGAAGAGATACACGTTTAACATGTTTAACTGCTTCCTACAGTTACTCTGCACACTTGTCATTCGGTCATTTTCAACTTTGAACCTTTTTGTAGTCCAATTGTTGGTTGTATGCTTTGATTGTTCTTAGCCTCACTTGTAAGTCAATTTGGATGAAAGTGTTTGACAAATAAACTGACATTTAAAGATGAGAGGGCAGGAATAGAGTAGCGGTTAGCTTGCTCCGCTCCCAGCTTGAAGGTTCTGGGTTCAAACCCCAATGTCTGCAGTCTACCTGTAGGCCTCCATGAGCAAGATGCCCTAACACAATACCTGCTCATTAATGACACTATAGTGCAGCGCCTGTTCAAACGTGTCTGTTCAGAACGGGCCAATTGCTTACAGCTTCCTCGAGAACCGCTCAGCCAAACAACTTCACATCTCGACACTGCGCTTCCTTGGGTCCTTGGCAATACACCCGCCAAGTGTGAAGTTGTTTGAATGAATGGTTGTCCAGAAGGAAAGACATACATACATACATACATACATACATACATACATACATACATACATACATACATACATACATACAGAGACTTTTTTCCATTTAAGATCCAATCTGTAATTTGCTGTAAATTGCCTCAGATAAAAGCATCTGATAAAGGACTATATAGCACCTTTAGCTTATTAGTTATATATTTCCAATGAATGAAAAGTGATGTATGCTCTATGACGTATCAGAGATCAGAATGAACAGGCGTGTGGACGAGTGCAAGCGGTCACCTGTAGGTCCTCTGCAGACATGCCACTGGTGTGTATGGGTGGAGATTTCTCCTCCAGGTATTTTGTCTTCTCCACCTCCTTCTCCTCCAACTCCTGCTCCAGCTGCTCCGTGGCCGTGGCCACCATCATGCTCTGGAGAACAGAGGACAGACAACCATATAATCTAGGGCTGTAACGATTAGTCGATCGACAGAAAATGAATCAAATCAAATTGTTATAGACCATATAAAGACCAAACATGTGCTGCTTGATGCTTCAGAAATTCAAATGTTTGGTTCATGAATCATACAATGAATACTTTAGTTTTTCTTTGCTTGTTGTCAGATAAAGAAAGCCCATTTAAGACATCACTTTGGAGTCTGGTAACTTGTGATGGCATTTGCTATTATTTATGACATGTTCTAGACTAAAGGATGATCAGAAAAGTTATCATTAGATTAATCGACTATACCCCTATCATCATCATCATCATCATCATCATCATCATCATCATCATCATCATCATCATCATCATCATCATCATCATCATCATCATCATCATCTGCTGAACACCGGTCATTAGTATACTGGTGATGAAGAAAAGGCTCTTTGGAAGGATCTTATAGCTGAGTTTCCATAGGCAACATCTCAGCTGTACTTAAATGTTCAATTTAATCAATTGATCACACAGAATACACAAACAAAAAAAGTACAGAACCAGGACACATAAAATGTGTCCTTTTTTTATACTGCTCTCAAATAGTGGATCGTAGATTAAATGTTTAATAAACCCACCTTAAGCATGAGCTTACGCGATGCAGATATTTTGGGTTTTCTCTATAAAAGAAAAAAAAACAGTGTTGTAAACATATAAAGTATCACAGTATCACAAACTTAGCAATGTCTACTTTTGCCTGTGTCTTACCTCAGGTCTGCAAATGGTAACATGTTACATGTAAAACAAAGATACGACATGTTATTAATAATCGTGATTCAAAAAAGAAACCTTTAGAGAAGATTGAAAAAAGAAAAGCTCATAGCAAAATTACACAGCAGTTGTTCCCAGTGCATTGTCATCTATAATCTCTGATTCTATAGATATACAGACACATGTTCGGACACTAAACATGGAAAGTAAACACAGAAACTCAATACACTTACCCTTGCAGAGGCATCTTGGCTATTTGTATTCTCCCTGGAAGACAGGAATAACAGCTTTAGATGTTTTACTCCAGGGCCCACTTGAATACCTCGTCTAAGCATCCCCCCCCTCATCCCCATCACCTCCCCTCACCTCCCCTCACATCCATACCACAGCACCAGCCCTCAGGGACTTCATTAAAAAGTAACACTTCTGGAAAATGTGTACGTATTTTTCATCCAAACTTTCCAAGATTCAAACACAAAGTGTTGAAATAGTTTATTACTAATGCTCTTTGCTATTTAGCAGATGGAGCAAATAAATAAAGCAAAGTACAGTGAATTTACATTGGGATTCGAACCCAGAACCTTTCGACTGGAAGTTCAACCGTGTGTTCAACTCGGGGTCCGACACCCAAATCATGACACTATCCTCCTGCCACAGCTCATGTTATTTTGTTGACAACCCACAAGCAGTAGGAATCCAGTTTCCACTTACCATTGATACCAATAACATACAGTCACCTCATCTCAGAACCTTTCGGCTAGGACCACAACAATAACAACAACAACACCACCCAGTCCACTTGACTACCCTGGCCACTGTCGCGTGTGTGTGTGTGTGTGTGTGTGTGTGTGTGTGTGTGTGTGTGTGTGTGTGTGTGTGTGTGTGTGTGTGTGTGTGTGTGTGTGTGTGTGTGTGTGTGTGTGTGTGTGTGTGTGTGTGTGTGTGTGTGTATGTGTGTGGTGTGTGTGTGGTGTTAGCCTCCTGAACCACGACCAGGGCCCTCTCCTTCGGTATCATTTTGTCGCCCTCCAGCCCTGACAGTGGTCCTGTGCCCAGAGGAGACAGCTGATAGCATACAGGGTGTGTGTGTGTGTGTTAGTGTGTGTGTGTGTGTGGGGGGGAGGGGGCGACAAGGCACTGCTATTCTAGTTAGATAACAATACCAGCTTCCTCTGGTTGCTCCTCCGCTATATAAGGACGAGATGCAAATAGGATCCTGGCTCACTTTTCTCCTTTTCCCAGAACTGAGTTTATCTCATCTTTGATAAGAGTTTGTTTACTTTGTTTACTTCACTGATGTTTGAAATATAAATAACATTAACACAACCAGTAGCATATGTGCACCTATTGTTGTTTACCCAGGAACTCACTATAGTTCAGTTATACACTCTCTTTTTGTACTTAATGATGTATATTACGAGGGAAATTTGTCGTGGACAGTTCGTTAGATTAGTAATGACCTGTCCATTAGAGATTTGTCTCAAACTCATCCATATGAAGTAACAGTAGACACTGTAAGTGAACAGATAAATATCAGAAAAATGCACAGCAGAGTTTCAAATTTGAATGTGTATATTTCATTTCATTGCTAAATCGCAGCACAAATGGCAACTTCTACTTGGTGCCCAATTTCTCCAATTTAAAATTTTACACATTTACATTTGTTAAATGGTTCCAAAGTACATTTCCAGAAATACAAATAAAATGTATGCTTACTATAAAATATGTAAGTTCAATTTCTTCTCAATGTACTAATAATGATTTAATTAAATCATTATGAGTATGGATTACAATGAGTGGTAAGTCACCTACCTTCCTCTGTCAGGTCTGTAGAACCAAATAACACACAGTGATGAAGAGGAGAGACCCCACAGTCTTTATGTCAGACACACACACACACACACACACACACACACACACACACGAGAGAGAGAGACAGCGAGAGACAGAGAGAGAGAGAGAGAGAGAGAGAGAGAGAGAGAGAGAGGGGGGAGTGGTCTTTGATTAGAGGTTTCTCTCTCTCTCTCTCTCTTTCTCTCTGATGGTGTATTTGACTCTGCCTTCAGGCTGTGTTGAGGGTCTAACTTATCCATCTTTATGTTTGACCATGATGTTTTAAAACTTGGACTTCTTAACTCAGGACTCTCGGAGCAAGCAGTCGCTTGGTTCTCAAACTACCTTAGTAATAGGTCTCAGTGCATTAGATATGATGGTCTATGTTCTGATACTGTATTTGTCTGCAAGGGTGTACCACAGGGCTCTGTATTAGGTCCTCTTTTATTCACTAATTATATAAATATTCTGGGTCAAAACGTGTCAGATGCTAATTTTCATTTTTATGCTGATGACACTGTTATATACTGCTGTGTGTCAACTCTTGTACAGGCCATTGAATATTTGTAAAATACTTTTATTGTTGTCCAAATACCCTACTTCAGCTGAAACTCGTTCTTAATGCAGATAAGACCAAACTTATGTTTTTTACCGGCTCTAGGAATAGGCCACAAAATATCCTTTCGGTTGTCACTTGAGGGAAATGAAATAGAGGTTAACTCTTATAAATATCTGGGTATTTTGATTGATGACTCCCTCACTTTTAAGCCACATGTGCAGTACCTGGTTAAAAAGCTGAGGCTAAAACTGGGTTTTTACTTTCGAAATAAGTTGTGTTTTTCTTTGAATGTAAACAAGCGACTTGTTGCCGCCACTTTTTTTTTAATCTGTGTTGGACTATGGTGATCTTTTATATATGCATACCTCTGCTCAGTGTCTTCACAGGGTTGACACAGCTTACCATGCTTCCCTGAGGTTCATTACCAATTGTAAAGGTCTGAATCACCACTGTGAGTTATACTCTCGGGTAGGATGGCCTGCTTTGGTCACCCGTAGGCTCTGTCATTGGTACCTTTATATATAAGGCAATCCTTGGTCTGCTCCCATACTACCTATGTGTTCTTATCACACAGAAAAGTGCCGGACAATATTCTTTGCGTTCTCAGGACTTATTTATGCTTTCTGTCCCAAATGGGAAAAAGGAAAAAGGCTTTCTGTCCGAAATGGGAAAAAGGGCAGACAGGCAGACATACAAAGACAGATAGGCAGACAGACAGACATACACAAACAGATAGGCAGACAGACAGACAGACCGACAGACATACACAAACAGATAGGCAGACAGACAGACATACAGACATACACAGACAGATGGGCAGACACGCAAGCAGACAGATAGACAAACAAGCAAACAGGAACGCACACACACACACACACACACACTCTCATAAACAGGCAGAGACAGACACGTTAAGACATGCAGAGACAGACAGACAGACAGACATTAAGGCCAACAGACGGCTGGCAGCAGTCACAGTTAACTACCCTTTGTGTTTTTCCATGGTGACTAACTCCTCCATGTGTGTGCAGCTCTATCCCTAGCTATGAGCCACACCGTTGTTACTGTAAACCGTGCCCTCTGATTGGTTAAGGGTCTCACTGGTCACCACTGGGAGATATATGGGGGGGGGTCTGATTAGGAGAGGATACCCTCAGACAGGAGCTAAGCCCTGGGTCAAGGACTGGACCCCCCCAGGGACAGATAA